CTCAATGAAATATTAGCAAACTGAATTCAAGAACACAGCAAAAGGATAATGTACCATGATGAGTGGGATTCATCCCTTGAATGCAATGATGGTTCAACATACAGTCAATTAATGCAATGTATAACATCAATAAAATTTAAAAATCACATGAACATTACAATAAACACAAAATAAGCATTTGATAAAATACAATACACTTTCATGATAAAAACCCTTAACAGATTGGGTACAGAAGGAATATACCTCAAAAAATAAAAGTCATATTTGACAAACCCATAGCTAACATTATACTCAATGGAGAAAAATTGAAAGCTTTTCCTCTAAGATCAAGAGCAAGACAAGGATGCCCACTCTCACCACTCTTACTCAATACAAGCCCTAGCCAGAGCAATTAGACAAGACAAAGAAATAAAAGGCATCTACATTTAAAAGGAAGAAACAAAGCTACTGCTTTTTTGCTGATGATAATGAATTTATATATAGAAAATGCCAAAGAGTCAACAAAAAACCTGTTAGAATTAATCAACAGTTTTAGTAAAGCTGCAGGGTACAAAAGTAACATACAGAAATCAGTTGCATTCTTTTACACTAATAATGAAAATATCTGAAAAAGAAGTAAAACTATTCCATTCACAACAGTATCATAAAACAATAAAATACTTAGAATTAAATTTAACAAAGGAAGTGAAAGAGCTGTACAATTAAAACTATAAACTTTGCTGAAAGAAATCAAAACAAGACACAAATTTTTAAAATCTTATGTTTATGGATCAGAAGAACAAATACTCTTCAAATGTCCATACTGCCCAAAGCCATCTACAGATCCAATACAATTTTCATCAAAATATCAGTAATTTTTCACAGAAATAGAAGAAAGAATCCTCAGATTTATGTGGAACCACAAAAGACCTCAAACAGCCAAAGCAATGCTGAGAAAAAAAGAACAAAGCTGGAGGTACCATGCTTCCTGATTTCAAACTATACAACAAAGCCACAGTAATAAGAATTTTATGGCACTGGCACAAAAACAGACACATAAACCAATGGAACAGAACAGAGAGCCCACAATTAAACCCAGACATATATAACCAACAAATATTCAACAAGGAAGCCAAGAACATTCAATGAAGAAGCATAGTCTCCTAACAAATAATGCTGGGGAAACTGGAGAAATGCATGCAGAACAATAAAGTTGAATCCCTATCTCACACTACTCACACTTGTCGACTCGAAAATCAAATACTTAGACATAAAACCTGATGTCACAAAACTCCTAGAAGAAAATATAGGGAAGAATCTCCTTTACATTGATCTTGCCAATGATTTTTTGGACATGATGCCAAAAACACCAACAACAAAAGCAAGAATCAACAAATGGGAGTACATCAAAATCAAAAGCTTCACATAGTGAAAGAAACAATTAACAAAATGAAAAGACAACCTACAGAATGGTAGAAAATTTTTGCAAACTATAAATCAGATAAAGGGTTAATATCTAAACTATATAAAGAACTTATACAAGTTAATAACAAATAAAAACAAACATCCAATTAAAAGTGAGTGAAAGAACTAAACAAATACTTTCTAAAGAGGATATCAAAATGGACAAGCAGCACATAAAAAGATGCTCAACATCACTAATCATTACGGGAATGCAAATCAAAACCACAATGAGGTATCACCTCACACCTGTTGGAATGGTTAGCATCAAGAAGAGACAGCAGGTGCTGGCCTGACTGTGGTGAAAAGGGAACCCTTATAACTGTTGGTGGGAATGTAAATTGTTCAAACCACTGTGGAAGACAATATGGAGGTTCCTCAAAAATTTAAAAATACACCTACCGTATGATCCAGCAATTACACTTCTGGGTATATGCCCAGAGGAAATGAAAACAGAATTTTGAAGAGCTATATGCACTCTCATTTTTTACTGAAACATTATTCACAATAGCCAAGAGATGGAAACAACCTAAATGTCCATTAATATATGAATGGATAAAAAAAGATGTGGTATATATACACAATGGAATATTATTCATGTGTGAGAAAGAAGGATATCCTGCCATCTGTGACAACATGGATGGACCTTGAGCATATTATGCTAAATGAGATAAGTTAGAAAAAGACAAGTGCTATATGACATCACTTAGATGTGAAATCTAAAAAAGTCAAATTCATAAAAAATAGAGAGCAAACTGGTGGTTACTAGGGGATTAGGGATATAAGACTGATGTTGTTAAAGGGTAAAAACTTGCAATGAGTAGTAAATAAGTCATAGAGACTTAATTCATAGTATAATGAATGTAGACAACAATGCTGTACTATAATTATGTAATGAGATAACTACCACCACAACAGCAATCACATTACAATATATAAATGTATCAAATTAACACACTGTACACTTTAAATTTACACAATGTTGTATGTCAAATATATTCATTATAAAAATGATCTGATTTGAAGTCAAGCAAAATAAATTAAAAATAAGGTTATTTTAAACATGGACTTGTAATCACCATTATTAGTGGTTAATCTTGTTCTGAATTTAGTTTGCTTTGCAATATTACCTGATGAGAATGGTGAACCATTTAGAAATATTTTACACTGAATCTGTATCCTCTCATTTTTCCATTTGGAAGTTATCTTTTATCACTCTGATAAATAAGATTGTGCAATCAGAAAAACAGGGAGCCTTTGAAAGGCTTTCATCAGTACAATAGCATGGCCATATTTTCTCTTTGAAAACTAAGAATAGGATAAAATACAGGCAAAAAATTGAGTTTAGAAGATGTTATAGTAACTCAGCCAAGAGATAATTAGGACCTAAAATAAGGAAGAGTAAGGAGAGAGGGGAGTAGGCTGTCTTGTAAGCAATTTGGGCCATAGATTTAAGAAATGTGACTGATGGACATGAGGCAGCTGCAATGCTGAGACTAAGGTGGAACCAAGGAGAACTGCCAATTCCCTAGATTTGGTGAAAAAATGTGGTGTACATTCCAATGTACTTTAGGGAAATGTGAAAAACTCCTCAAACTCGTTCATGAAGAGTTCAGAACATAGTTTTCTAATTGAAGTACAATTGACAGATAACATCATATTAGTTTCGGGTGTACAGCATGATTTGGTATTTGTATATATTGCAAAATGATCACAAGTCTAGTTAACATCCATCATTACGTAAGTGACAAATTCCTTTTTCTTGTGATGAGAACTTTTAAGATTCAGAACACATTCTACACATTGCTAATCTTACTGGTTCATATAGAGTTATTAAGTATAATTATAAAGAGATCATCCCTAACTTACAAATCATTTAACATACATTTATTGACTATTTAGTGAATATCTCTGTTCTTCAGCTTAGTATTGAAATTTGAGAAACATGTTCCGCTGGGGTTATTTTCCTTAAATAATAATGGATATACATATTGCAACACTATTTTTTATACATTTTTTGTATATGTGTCCATATTTTTCACTTATCAATCATTCCTTCCTACACCAAAATAAAGACATAACAAAGAATAATTATGAAAAAAGGATTTTTAACCAGAAAACTTTTGGTCATAAAAATTTCTATACAATATCTTTACTGTTTTCCTCACATTTTGCCATGCTGCCATTCTCCTTTTGCAAGCACTTTTTTCTGTCTGTTCTCAGAGCCCCTCTCTGAGAGTGGAAAAAGCTACAATTATTAATGATACAATGATAAGCTGAAATAAGTAAAAGATTACTCTACTATTGCCAATGAAAATCACAGCCTAAAAATATATAACTACATGGCTGAATGAGAAAACAGAGGGTAGGTATCAGAATAAGAAGGTAAATAGGGCAAAGGAAAAAGAGAGGTGGCATATGCCACAGAGAATAAAGGCATGGGTCTTCAGTCTTCCCGAACTCTGGCAGTGACCTCGGTAAAACTGTTACAGTTCTTGTCTGAAATTATATATTATCCCGGTTGGTGGAATTAAATTATTATGCATGCTTCATATTAAAACAAAAAGAAAACAAAAGATTTTAATTATTTTTGAAGAACACCTGGAGCATATCTTTTGGAAACTTGTGGATCATAGATACCTAGCCTACAAGTATTTAACAAAGCAAAGAACACTGGGAAAGTTTTCTTTCCTTCTTGACTTCTAATTGTTTCAGAAATCCTGACACAAGTAATTAGGCAAAAATAAAATGCAAAAGGAATTTCTACTGTCATTTGGCAATATAAATATTGTGTGTACAGGAATGATGTTTTGTTAACATCCTGCAATCCTCTGTTTTCAATTTCCTCCATTCTTTTATGTAATAAAGTTTTAGTTATGCCTCCGGATACAGGGTAAATTAGGCAAAGTTTAAAGCTCTGTCTTCCTAATTACTCTCTTGTAAAATATCCTAAAAGTCCATTTAATTGGTTCCTTCAGGAGTTTAAATAGAAGGGCACTAAGAAATTTAAACGTGACGAAATGTTTGACATAAGACTCAGAAATAGTGAAATTATGCCATACCTGTCTGGTCTTACTTAAGAGTATTCATTCTCTGATCTATAGGAGCAAGAATTTAGTTTTCTAGTTCTTTCTTGATTCATATTACCACTGACTGAAAAAGGGGAGGACTTTTTTCTACTCTATAAAAGACTAGTCTACCATCAATGAAATAACAGTAACTTTACAAATTCTTCTTAAATTCTTTTCTCATTTTCAGTCTTCCTTAAACTTCATGATAATGTCATCACGTATCCGTATTTTTATTACATATTATAGCCAATTGAAATATCACTTTTAAAAGATTTACAGACTGCATAAATAAAATATGATCACACACACACACACACACACACACACACAGGCTAAAGAGTATTATTAAGCCTTGAAAAGGAAGGAAGTTCTGACATGCTATAACATGGATGAACCTGGAAGACATGAGGTACAGACAGAGGACACGCTAAGTGGAATAAACCAGTCACAAAAATACAAACGCTACATGACTTCACTTAAGTTAGGTACCTCGAGTAGTCAAGTCATATTAGCAGCAGCTGGCCGACACTCCAAGCGACTCCATCCTCCCCAGGGCGCAGGTGGGTTCTGCGGGCTGATCGGCGGGCCGCCTCTCTCTGTGCAGATTCAGCCACAATGTGGCAACTGCTTTTAAAAGGAAAATGGTGGTTTCTGCGCGTGAACCGTCTCCTAAATCGGAGTTGCTGCACAAGGAAACCCTACACATTCTGCATACTCTTGCTGGGACCCTCTTCACGCGGCAGCTCCGGTTGATGCAGACGCCAGCACAGCGGCTGCCTCCCTTCTCGCCAAGCTCCTCCTGCTGCGCGCGCAGCCTGCTTGGATTAAAAACTAAGGACGTCATCAAGAGGCGCCACAAGGACTACTGACGTAGAGAAGAGGCGCCAAGGCTGGTTAATCTGTTGCAATTGTTTTGCTCTTAATATACATCACCTGTGACCCTGGGGCAGGCAGAAGCTGAGTTTAAGTCAAGGAGGAATTTTCTGTTTTGATTAACAGTTACGTGTTATTTGAATCTCTTAGAATATATTCTTGTTTACTTTATGCATTTTTTTAAAAATGGACAACACAAAATTGGAGTAGGATCAAGAAAACATGTAAATCTTTTTTAAATTATTTCTAATTATGGTGAAATTTTAATAATATAAATTTACCATTTTAACAATTTTTAAGTGTACAGTGGCATTAAGTACATTCACATTGCGTGTTACCAATCAACACTATTCATCTCCTGAACTCTTTTCACCTTGCAAAACTGGTTAAGTATTTCCCGAAGGCCAGTTTGTTTGGAAGATCAGAAGCATTACTAAGCCCAGGTCTGTTGGAGTCTCAAGACCAAAGCACTCAGACTATAATGCTCTAAACTGCAACAGCTTCATAACCTTCAAGGAATTCTTTTTCAAAGCTTTTGGCTCTTAGATCTTGAACTACCAGGTTTTGGTTTGTTTGTCTTTCTAAATTCTTTTGAAAGAAAGAGATGAGAGAAAAGGAAAGATTACAGAAAAAGGTATCTCCTGACTCTCCTATTCCCTTCCCCACAAGTGGGAAGGAAATGATCATCTACAAAAAATTCTCCCTGCAATGACTGAAAATGACCTGGGCCTCAGATGCCACTTATGATGGTCATTTCTGCTATCTTTCAACTGCTCTGGGAAGGGAAGCAGATCTTTCTTTTGGGGCAAGATTATTTTTACTGTAAATCTTGTCATGTAAGTTACAGTTCAATAGTGGTAAGTCAGTAACAGGAACACAGAAGAACAAAAATTCTGACACCAAAACACTGTAACCCTGTTACTCATCTTGGTAATAAAGGCTTTCTTTCCAGAAATTGTCTTCTTGGTTACAGGTAGAGACATTCAATTGTATCTTCTTTACAGAAGAATCTTATCAAATCTCTTCCTGGTTGCTCAAGCCAGGTACTAGGAGTCTTCCTTGACTCTCCTTCACTGGCATGCCTCCAACCAAAAAAATAAATAAACAAATTACAAGTCTGTGGCCATTGTTACAATATTAGTCCAAGTCAATTCATCTATTGCTTAAATGTCTGCAGCAGCATCATAGCTGGTCTCCCTGCATATAGTTCCATTGACCCTACCTCTAGGACATTAAAAATGTTCCCTTTCTTACATACTCCCTTTTGCAGATAAAGTGACTTTTTAAAATGCAAATTTAATCATGTCATGCTTCTACTTAAACCCTCCAATAGATGCCAATTACCCTCAGATGAAGCCCAAATTTCTTAATACAAACCAAGACTCTCCTCAGTCAAGTCTCTTTACATCTTTTAAGCCCCATTTTGTACCAGGGAAGTTTATTATTTCTATGAGAGAAATGAAGGAGAATTAAGATTGGGCAGAGGGGAAGTTGAACTATGATGCAGGGCTAACAAAGCCTCCATCACTCTGGGATAGAGGGTCGGGGAACAACTGTTGTCCATTAGCATTATCCTTCATCAAGCTAAAATGGGAAAAGCCTTATAAATTCACCTCAATCTGTCATTGGATATAAGCTGCTCCAGGAAGGGAATGACCTTGAGTGAAACAATGCTATGCAGCTGAGTCAGTCCCTGGGGCACTGGCACCTGCAGGCTGCCTACTAACCTCACTTCCCACATTTGTCAACAACACTTTACTTAGAGGAAGAACTAGGTGGTGCAGGCCCTTCTCTACCACAGCTCATACCTCCACCATTCAGATATAATCCTCCATATACATAGAGGGGGCAGCTCCATCAAGATTTTAGTGGTCCTCTCTTCCAGAGAGAAAACTTAGAAGAGAGCGTCTGGTGGGTCTTTCCTTCTACAGCTGTCTCAGATCCATAATTGATATTCATCACCTCTCTCCATGACATAGTCTAGATTTCATTCACACTTAGCTTCCACCTCTCTGACCTTGGTGGTTTACCTGGTGCCATGACCCAAATCCTCATGCTCAAGCACCCTGGTTCCCTAGTCACCATGCATTCCTCAGGCTGGGGTTGCAGTATCTATCCATTTTCAGTAACATCTGGGAAAGGGAGTATCAAGAGGCAGCCATGTGGATCACCTAGGCTCCACACATATTCCTCCCTGTCTCATTGCATAGTAGCAGGTCCATCTCTTCCTCATAATTAGAGTCCATGACCCGTACCAAGATGTTGACACCTTCCTGCATGCTGGTCCTAGGAGACAAGGAGCCCAAAATGTGTAGCTTGAAATTTAATGGTATCTTTACTGTGTCACCTTCTAAAAGTGCACCCTTTTGGAAACCTAGGACCTCTTAATCCCTCAGAGCCCATAGTTGCAAGAATATGAATCACAAAGTTCCCCAGTGGGTTACTGGAAGTAATGATCTAGCCCTTCTTCCAACCCTTGTTTCCCTTTCCTACTAGGAGCAGAATGCCATAAAAGATCTTTGATTCAATGCATATACTGTGTCATCCACACAGAGTATCACCTCCAAAGCTGGCATTTCAGCTATGTCTTCAGCAGACAGTTCTAATGCTCTCTCTGGCTATCAGCTTGTAGGTAGTGCAATGTGTGATATGATCAGTTGATCTCATAGTCATGAGTCCATTCCCACACCATTTTTGATAGAAAATATGCCCCTTATTCTGATGCAGTGCTCTGTGGGATATTACATCAGTGGTCCAAACACTTAAATCTTCAGAGAGTCGTACTGGCTAAGGCCCTGTGGACAGAAAAACCAAACCCCTACCTGAAATTTACGTATATACTTGTGAGAATGAACCACTGGCCCTTCCAGGGTGGAGAGGGCCCAATAATACAGTTGGCTTGCCAACAAGAAGAGAATTTATCTCCTTGAGAATTGATGCCATTTCGGAACTCAGTACTTGTCTCATTGCTGTCAGATTAGAAACACTCTGCAGTGACAGTGGCTAGAAGAGCCTTGGGAAGTGGGAATCCATGACACTGAGCCCATGTGTGACCTACATTTCTGTCACTGGCCCATCCTGCCAGCACAGAGCAAACAATGATAGAGGCTGGCTAACATTAAAACTGGTTGGGTCATATTGTCCGCTTGGATGCTTAGCACCTCATCTGTACTGAACATTCTCTGGTAAATATGAACTACTGAATGAAAGAACTTTCCACTTTGTGCCCATTCCTATGTTAATTCACAGGCTTCTCTTCCAGACCACCTGCCTCCAACCTTTCAATCTTTTTCCTTACAAGCTCCTGCTAGGCCATTTGTCTCTGCCTATAATTCCCATATATTCTAACCAGGTGCACTTCCCAACACTCTGCCTTTTGGGAAATTTTTTTATCACTACTGTTTCTCAAGGCTACCCCTGAGTGAGGCTGCCACGCATTTTTGACACATACCTATATTAATTCACACTCATTCATACAACTTTTATTGAACACCTATTCTGTGTGCCAATCACTTTGCTAGGGTTTAGGAACAACAACAACAACAACAACAACACATCATTTTTTCTTACTAGTTCAGAGTCTACTGGAAGCCAGGAAAGAATACAACATCATAACTGATATTAGCAACATTAACAGCATGCTGTCAAGGAAACAGATACAAATATTAGATGTTTTAAAGATGGACATTACCAATTAGCAAAAGAGTAGCCTGCAGACTAAATATGTATGGCTTCGCAAAGTCACAGTTGTAAGTAAAAACAATGAATGTACAACCTGCAAATATGATTATCAGTCATAGAGATGAAACCCAGTATATACTTTGGGAAAGTTAGCAAAACAGTCCCCCGTTGAAACTGTTAAATGTAGCACACTGAATTCTGAGATGATGTAATTCCTCTTTTTCAAAGATGTGGCTCAGGGTAGCTCTCAGGCTCCACCATTGCCTGCCAACACTGGAATGAATTGCCACCTTGGGAAGGTGATGGGAGATAGTGCCAAAGGAGCAAAGAGAGAAAGTGGGAGAAGGGTGTACAAAAAGAAAGATGAAGTATCACAGAACAATGTGTTCCTAAATAATATAGATGTGCTTATTACAGTTCAGATGCTATGTGGTTTCTGGCACAACCCCTCAAAGCAAGTCAATTAGACATAGGCAAATGTTCTTGGCATTGTAAAGTGATTGGTCAAAAGTCCAAACAGGAAATTATATCCCAATTGAGATTTTGAAATAAAAACTCAAGCTCCTCCAAAAGGAAGAAAGCCAACAGTGGACTCCAAGAGAAGGTGTTGCTCATCCCAAATTCTACATCTCAATCTAGGTCCCTAGGTGAAAACAAAGGACCTCAACTTAGGAAACACTCCCTGTCAACAGCAGTCACAGAGTAAATCTAGACCTCCAACTAGATATTTCAACCCTGAACCTGAGGAATGTTTCTTCTCCTCTAAGTGTAGAAAGAGAAAAAGAAAAAGAGGGAAAAAAATCAGCCAACTAAATCCTGAAATTCCAACAGAATAAGCATTGACACATTTGGCCAGCTATCCATGTCTTTAAAAAGTCCAAAAATTCTTAATTTAAGAAATCTGGCTACGTCTATCATGGAAAATATGGAATCACGATACTTCCAAACCTTCCTGGATTTAATCATAAAATACCTCAGACCTCCTATATGACTCATCCATTCTAATGATGAGGATGAAAATCAAAGCATGTTTCTTGGTGGATTAGCTTACAATATTTCAGTGAATGACAACAGGCAGATCCAAAATTATTATCAAGGCATTATGTTCTTCCTTGGCATGACAGCCGTTCAACATCATCTGACAGTGAAAGATATTTTGTGATAAAGGAAGCCTTGCCCAAAGAGTGGGTGAGTTCTTGCCAATGACTGGCAAAGGGCTATTTATACAGTTTACACTTAGTAAAGAATAATTTTTAGAAAGGTATTAAGTGGGAATCATTTAAGCACCTAAAGAATCCAGCTTCACATGCAGCAAGTTAGTGGCATAAAATACTCCATCTTAGAGGAATGTGGCAGTGCTGCCTTCATAGGTAAGTGAAATCACTGCTTCATGGCTGTGGGTACCTCAGCAGCTAACTCTTCCATAACAGAATTCATGGAAAATGTGTCTTATAAGAACACATTTGAATACTAATTCAATATATGTTAAATATTGTTAAAATTAAATTTTAGACTGTTTTTTTCTGTGAAATATAATTTGTCCATAAAATTTCTTTTCATTGTAATTGTCTATTTGATTCACCTCTTTCCTCATAGCTAATCAACGCCAGACCTAAACCCTGGATACTAAAACTTGTTCATTTTACAAGAGTTGTTCACTAATTCTATAAGCAGTTAAGAGCACTTTCAAACACCAAATGCCTCTTTTTCTTAGAGGTAAAAAGATATTTATGGAAATATTCATTTTAGCCAAATCTTAAAGTTAATTCTCCCATAGTTATCACTAAAAAAATCTTTTATTTTTAGAAGAAAAAATATATTAAAACTAATGTCAAAAGTGAGGTTTAAATAAAAATTTACCAAATAATAAAATCTCTCTGATGAAATACCAGGGTTCTTTGATAAGGAACTAATTAAACAGATTGTACTCCCTCACCTAGCTGCATGTCATGATGTGTTGCAGCATCACGGAGCACATCTACCTGGAGGTACTGAGGATAACACTCCACGGGGTTAACCCCAACAATTGTTTACCATGGATATTCCCCTTTCAAGTTTGGATTTTACAGTATGAAATGCTCAGCTTTTAGAAGTTTTATTAGCATAAGAATGAAAACAAGAAATATTAAGATAAAATTAGAAATTATCAGGTTATGAGTCTAAACATTTTACAGTTACTACGCTTTTGGCCACAAGTAACAGAAACCCAAAGCAATTTTAAACACCAAGAAAGTTCACTGTCTCGCCCAACAGAAACTCAGGGAAAGTTCAGGTTTCAGGGCAAGTTACTTAAGCATTTCAACAACGTCATCCAAACCCCAGGTTCTTGCAGTCTCTCCTTTCTTCCCTCCTTACTTTGAGCTCCTTCACAATCTATTAGATGGCTGAAGCAGGACCAAATACTTAAAACAGATAATGAAAAGAACTATACCGGCCTCCGCCACCGAGCGCAGGAGCTCGGACCCGAGGCCGCCGCCGCCGGGCCCCCCGCCCCGCTCCGCGCCGCCCGCCCCTGCCGCGCCCCGCGCTCTGGCAGCTGCCGCGCCCGCGCCCGGGAAGGCCAAGCTCACGCACCGGGGGAAGGCGATCCAGGCAGGCGGCCTGGCGGGCTGCGTCGAAATCTGCATCACCTTCCCCACCGAGTACGTGAAGACGCAGCTGCAGCTGGACGAGCGCTCGCACCCGCCACGCCACCGGGGCATAGGTGAGTGGAGGCGGCCGGCGTGGGTGGGCAGGCCGAGGCCGGCAGGCCGGGTCGCTGACGGCCCCCTCCCCCAGGGGACTGCGTACGGCAGACGGTCCGCAGCCATGGCGTCCTGGGCCTGTACCGCGGCCTCAGCTCCTTGCTCTACGGCTCTATCCCTAAGGCGGCTGTCAGGTGAGGCTGACTCCGGGACCGCGGGAGGGGGTCCCGGCTTTGCTGCGGCCCCTCTCACACCTCTGCCTCCCGGTCCAGGTTTGGGACGTTCGAGTTTCTCAGCAACCACATGCGAGACGCCCAGGGACGGCTGGACAGCACGCGTGGACTGCTATGCGGTCT